ATCTCATAAAAAACTTTACTGTATGAGGAATTGCTTCTTATGGATGAGCAAAGAAAGTGCTTTCTTGAGATGGAATCTACTCCTGGTAAAAAAGTTGTGAAGGTTATTGAAAAGACAACAAAGGCTTTACATAAACTTACCTGATAAAACAGTGCAGGATATGAGAGGACTGACTCCAGTTTTGAAAGAAGTTCTGCTGTAGGTAAAACACTATCGTACAGCATCATATGCTACAGAGAAATTTTTCATGAAAGGAAGAGTCCATTTATGCAGCAAACTTAACTGCTATCTTAAGAAACTGCTACAGCCACCCTAACCTTCAGCAGCCACCACTCTGATCAGTAGGCAGCCATCGACACTGAGGCAAGACCTTTTGCCAGCAAAAAGACTGTGACTCACTGAAATCTCAAATGATGGTTAGTATTTTTCAGCAGTAAAGTATTTTTTTAATTTTATTTAAATTCTAGTTAGTTACTATATAGTGTAATAGTAGCTTCAGGAGAGCAGTATTTAAAAAAAAAGATTTTATTTATTTATTTGAGAGAGAAAGAGTGCACGAGAGAAAGCACAAGTCAGGGAGGGGCAGAGGTAGAAGCAGACTCCTCGCTGACCAGGGAGTCTGACGTGGGGCTCAATCCTAGGACCCTAGGTTTACCTGAGTTGAAGGCTGACACCTAGCTGACTGAGCCACCCAGGTGCCCCACTAAAGTATTTTTTAATTACAGTATGTACTTTCTTTTTTAGATACAATGTTACTGCACATTTAACAGAATTTATATAGCATAAACATAATTTTTATAAGCAGTGGAAAATTGAAAATTCATTTACTTACTTTATTTCAATATTCACTTTGTATTGTGGTAGTCTGGAACATCTGTAATATCTCTGAGGTTATGTCTGTACTTTGGCATCAAATTGGAGAATGGATTGGAAGGATGCTAACTGGGGGCAGTGAATCTATTATAACTATATGGGAAGTTAATAATAATATAATAATAATAAAGATCTGAACTAAATCAATAGCAGTGGAGATGGAGAACAAGGGATGGATTCCAAAGGATGCAGAAGAAACACGTAGAGGTACAGAAAATAAGTTTAGTATTGGTCATGTTAAATTTACTAGTAGCAGGTATACATTTGGTGTCTGAGTCTGGAGCTCAGGCAAGGTTTGGGAAGTGTTATAGAACTAATAATCACACAATATTTTAAACACATGAGGTTATTTGAAGTAAATCTGTAAGATCTGAAAAGGGCCAACGACGTAAATTCTAAAGAAAGTTTACATTCAAGGAACTGAAAAAGGAAAGCAAGCCTACAAGAGCCAATAAAGGAGACAAGTACTACATTATCTACCTCTCTCCTGTACTATAGTGAGATTCATGGGGCAAGAGTTTCAATTTATTCATCTTTTATATCTGAACCCAACATAGTACCTGACATTTAGTAGGTGTTTACTAAATATTTGTTGAACAAACTGAGTATGTTTTAATATATGGTATTGTCTTTTAAATACCTAACTAAAGATCTTGGAAGGTTTAATTACAATACCCTTTTGCCTTAAAAATTGAGTTTGATCCAACTCAAAGGCTGAATGCAAACCTCTATTACTTCTCATCATAACGAGTGGAAACACTTGACAAGGAAGTTAACCATCCTCGAAGAGTTTGCTTACTTATGAGTGGGAACTGATTTAATGAACAAATGAGGGGGAAACAGCACATGAAGGGAAAAAAGAATCCGTCTCACAGCATTTTTTTTTTCCTAAAAGAAAAATAAAAATGTCCATTTTCAATTCTGTTTTTTCCTTAGAAGAACTGAGATTTCTATCTAAATGTGACTTTGGCATACACAGTAAGATCATCCAAGGTACTGATATTAAGGGAAACTACCCTGAAATTATCACAAGCCGAGATGGTTAACTTATTTTTATAACAAGTAAAGTATTACTTAAACTTTTTTCCAACTTAAGTTTATATTCATATTTTCTGAAAATGTCTTGATGTTGATATAAAAATATCTGAATATTTTGCTTTTAATAATATAAAGAAACCTATTTCATTATAATTATTTTCTGAAATCACATAGTTAATTGCTGAATAATTCCCCACTCCAATTTTTAAATCTTTATTTCCTTTAATGAGGGGTAAAACAAAAGTTGAAGAAAAGGTTCCAGCCTAATGACATACACATACCTAGAGATGATAAGTCAAAGATGTATAACTATATAAAAACAACTTTTGTCTAAGTAAGGTCAGGGACCAAAGAGCCAGAATTGGGTATTTAATATTTCATTAGTTTCTGACTTTTTTTTTTAAAGTTTTATTTATTTACCTAATCTCTACACCCCACATGGGGCTCAACCTTATAAACCTGAGGTCAGAGTCACATGCTCCCCCAACTGGGCCAGCCAGGTCCCCATAGCTCTTTTAACATAATTTGTTATGTTTTCTACCATTATTTTTGTATTTTAATACTGAAAGAAGAGTATTATCATCCAGTAAAAGAAAGAATGTAAGTCTTAAGATTATTCTGCTGCTTCTATAAGTCTGGGTTTCCTTGCAGAAAAATTATGGTGTTTGTGTAGATGCTCTCTAATGTTCATTGAAGTTTGAATATTTTATGATCATGAATAAAGTCTTCTATTTGTAAAATCAATCCTTTTGTGTTTATCTGCATAACAAAAACAATTAAGAAACTATATTTTATTCAAATTTCACTAAAACGTCTATGTTGAATTTTTAGAAAGGAAAATGGTTGATTAAAAACTGAAAACAGGGGCGCCTGGGTGGCTCAGTGGGTTAAGCCGCTGCCTTCGGCTCAGGTCATGATCTCAGGGTCCTGGGATCGAGCCCCGCATCGCGCTCTCTGCTCAGCAGGGAGCCTGCTTCCTCCTCTCTCTCTGCCTGCCTCTCTGCCTGCTTGTGATCTCTCTCTGTCAAATAAATGAATAAAATCTTTAAAAAAAAAACCAAAAACTGAAAACACAGGAGGACACTACCTTTCCATTGTCTTTCCACAGGCTGGTCTCCACATGCTATTAACGTAAGAGCCTATGTGCATATTCAGGGTACTAAATGAGAAGAACATGCACCCAAGAATACTTTATTTAGCAAAGCTATCGTTCAGAATGGATGGAGAGATAAAGAGCTTCCAGGATTGGCAGCAACTAAAAGCATATGTAACCACCAGGCCAGCCCTGCAATAAATACTAAGGGGGGCTCTATAAAAGAAGATAGATGCCAAGAGTAATATAGCCCAGAAATTTACAGAGACAATCCATAGAAATATGAACTGTACAGACAATAGGATGGCAATATATACATGTCTTTCAGTAGTAACTCTCAACATGAATGACCTAAACGCTCCCATGAAATGGCACAGGGTTGCAGATTGGATACAAAGACAGGAGCCATCTATATGCTGTCTAGAAGAGATGAATTTTGAACCTAAATACACTGCCAGACTGAAAGTAAGGGGATGGAGAACCATTTATTATGCCAATGGACCTCAAAAGAAAGCTAGGGTAGCAATTCTTATATCAGAAAATTAGAATTTATATCAAAGACTGTAATAAGCAATCCAGAGGGACACCATGTCATACTTAAAGGTTTAACAACAAGAAAATCTAACAATTGTAAATATCTATGTCCCCAACATGGGAGCAGCCAACTACATCAACCAGTTGTTCACCAAAATAAAGAATCAGATCGACAATAATACTTTAATTGTAGGAGACCTCAACACTTCACTCTCAGCAGTAGACAGATCATCTAAGCAGAAGATCAACAAAGAAACAAGAGCTTTGAATGACACACTGGACCAGAGGGACCGCATATATATATACAGAACATTCCACCCTAAAACAATGGAATACTCATTCTTCTCAAACACACATGGAACTTTCTCCAGAACAGACCACACACTGGGTCACAAATCAGGTCTCAACCTATACCAAAAGATTGAGATTATCCCCTGCATATTCTCAGACCACAATCCTTTAAACTGGAACTCAATCACAAGAAAAAATTTGGAAGGAATTCAAACACTTGGAAGCTTCTCATTGAAACGGAGATGGATGAAGCAGAAAAATTAACGTCAGATTGGTTGCTCAGGGATTAATGGATATGTTAATATGGTTTTTACATTTTATATTTAAAAAGATGTTTTCCACAAAGGAAAACATGGTTACAAGACATATTTATTATCTCTCATTTCTGAAAAAAAGGACAGCAGGCAGACATAGAGATAACTACTTTCCTCACTCAGGACTTATAATCCTTTCTTTCGTTTTTAAGATTTATTTTACTTATTTGAAGTCCTTTTTTTATAAAAATGATTTATTGATTTATTTGAGAGACAGAGAGAAGTGTGGGTAGGGGCAGAAGGAGAGAGAATCCTCAAGCAGACTCCTCACTAACCATGGAGCCCTATGTGGGGCTTGACTCCAGGACCCTGAGATCATGACCTTAGCAGAAACCAAGAGTCGGACATTTAACTGACTGAGTCACCCAGGTGCCCCTATTATATTTATTTGACAGAGAGAGAGAGAGCATGAGCAGGAGGGGGCGTGGATGAGAGAATCTCAAGCAGACTCCTTGCTGATCATAGAGCCTGAGACAGGGCTTGATCTTATGACCCTGAGATCATGACCTGAACTGAAACCAAGAATTGATCACCCAACCGACTGTGCCACCCAGACGCCTCTGATAATCCTTTCTTTAATTTAGAGTATTGGTATTTCGATGGACAAGGTAAACACAGTTAATTATTTTCCTTCTTCTTTTTTTTTTAATGAAGAGGAAGCTTTATAGGTGCTTTACTCTCTAATACCATTAAGATTGATCTTACAGTTGAGTAGAAATAAAGCAAAAAGAATTATATAGTAATTATGATAATGGTTAATAACCTTTCTCCTTCAGGAAAACCATGTATTTATATTATTATGAATCTTACTTGGAAAAAAAATGAAAAGAAAAGGCAATGGGCAAATATAATAGTACCTCGGTAGTTGATGATTTCTGTCCCAAGCACCGGAGTCATCTCCAGGACTGTGATGAAGGCTTTGTCCATAGACGTTAGAGGAAAAGGAGACATGCGGTGTCTTCTAGCCACCTTGGTGATGTCAACAGCACTGTGACCTAAACAGGAAGATAATTAACTAAGACTATGATGCTGAAACAGTGATTACAGAGTGGGAATGTCTTATAAATATCATTAATTCTCATTTTCATATGTCTGTAAGTGAATATTATAAGGTAAGAAATTTTCTTTTCCTTCCAAAATATAGCCTGCTTTGGTGGAACATTAAATCAAATCAGCAGTGTTACATTATATGTCAAAACTTGGTGAAATTTAATCATGTTATCAGATAATCCTTTTGGGAGCTTACTGTGCATTGTGGCACTGTTCCAATTTATTTTCACAACAACCTTATGGGGAGGCATTATTATTATCCTTATTTACAGATGAGGAAAGAGGGGTTTATATATCCTGGCCTAAATCACAAAGCTAGTAACAGTAGAGACAGGACTCAAACTAGGGTAGCGTGACTTCAGAGTTTATGTCCTTAACCACATACTAAACATTGAACACTTAATGAGCTAGCTAGTAAAATGAAATACTCAAACTTGAATTTATTTAGGATTTCATAGGAAATTTTCTTTTTTTAGAAAAGCCACAGGAAAAGATTATTTAGCTACTCACTCCTTATTCACTCTCCTTCATGGCATTAATATTACCCATACACTAAAACTCCTAATTTATATCTCCAATCCCAACCTCTATCTTCAACTCTAGATTTTTATGTCATCTAAACAGCTGGTAGACAGGAATGTGCATCTCCAAACTTATAAATCATCCAACATGCACCTGGATGTGCAACAGGTGAATGAAACTGAACATGTTCACAATCAAATTCTTGATTCCCCCCACCCTTCTATCTTGCCCTTATGATGTTTTATTCTCTTGCAATTTCTATCTCAGAAAATAGCAACCTGATTCTTGCAGTTATTAATCTAAAATCTTGGAAACATCCTTGATTCTTCTCTTTTTGTCAGAACCATATCTAAACTACCTTTGAAATAGCTCTAGAATCTGACCATTACTTACCACCTCCACAATAGTTGGATCCATGATTTATTTCCTGGGAAACTGAATAGCCTCCTAACTGATCTCCCTGCTACTGTCCTTGTTCCACTATAATTTACTCTCCACAGTAGTTACAGTGATCCTTTTAAATTTTAAACTGGATTGTGCTAATCTTTGCTCGTTGCTCTCCAATGACTTTCCATCTCACTCAGAATAAAATATTTGCTATGGCATGGAGTCCAACATATTATGGCCCCTACTATCCTCATCATCTATCATTTCCACTCTTGATCATTGTGCTCTAACCATACTTTTTCTTGCTTGTCCTTGGGCATGCCAAATAATCCCTCCTTAGGGTCTTTGTACTTGGTATTTTGTCCACTTTGACATCTTTCCCCAGATACTGTGGTTCCATCAATCCCTCATTTCTTTCAGGTTATTGCTAAAGTATCATCTCATCAGAGAGGACTTTGTTAAACATCCTATCTAGATTATTACCCACCATTATTCTCTATTATTTTTATCCTTTCTCCATGGATATAAAAATACATACACACATATATATGGATATTCATTTCCACATGCTTATAATTTATATTATACATTTATATTTATAGCCTTCCCCTTTAGAATGTAAGCTCCATTGTCTTTTTTGCTCAATGTTATCTCTAGTATCTAGAACAGTATTTGGCATATAATAAGCAATAAAAATAAATATTTGTTAAATTAATGAATCATTTAATGACAGAAAGGGACTTCTTAGATCACTATATTTTCATGCATAAATAACTTGGCCTTTTCTTTCCTTTATAGCCTGAGGGTAAACAGAAAAGGAGTAACTGCAAACACAGTTGCTTGGCTATCCTGTCTGCTATTCACAGCTCCATTCTTCCCTAGCCACTCTGCAGTTGAGTGTGGTCATATGATACAGTTCTGGTCAGTAAGATGTTGAAAGAAGTCCCTGGGGGCAGGCCCCTATGGTGAATAAAAAGAAAAAGAGAGAAAGCTTTAAGAGGAGAAAGCTTTTGCCTTTTCTTCTTTCTGCTTGGGACATGGGTAGATACTGGGAGGTGCTGTAGCCATTTTTTTACCATGAGGGTGGAAACCCACACAGTAAGTATGGAAATCTGAGAAGAAAAAAGAGCCTGAGTCTCTGCTGACAATATTGAGCTGCTGCACAATCCCTGGACTGTCACCAGGCTTTTGGTATGCAAGACAAATAAATTCCTATTTCTTTAATCCACTTTATCATGATTGTATATATTCCTCAGTAGTCTATAAGTTCCTAGTCATTGCAATTTATTAAGTTTAATATCTCTAACCCAATCCCAGCAGTTGCTTCAGACATAGTCACTTAATTAACTTAAAGGTACCACCTCAAAGAGTTTCCATTTAAGGTGAATGATATTGTTATAAGTACTCAAAGAAAAAGACATATAAAGATGTCATACTTAGGACATTTCCCTCCCATGGGCAATCAGAAAACTACAAAATTTTCAAAGCTTGAAGGGCCTTAGAGATTTAGTGCTAAACATGAATAGTTTTTCTATTCAAAATTTAAATAAGTGGACACTTATAAAGGATTATGTATATCATTTACTTGTAATTTGAAACATAAATTTATTTCTTGCTTTCACTGAAGTCCCAACTTTGTCATTAAATATCATGAAGACATATTGTCACAACAAGTGTAACTGGAGAAAATGATAGAGATAGGTGCTTCTGTTCTTTTTTTTTTTTTTTTTCAGGTTTATTGGTCTCAGATATGATATTTTCTAAAATATGTTTTACTTTCTTTATGGTGTCCAAATTGTGTATAACCTTATAAAAGCTATCCTTTTAAACTGTTTAGTTTCCGAGGAGAAAATTATACTTTTTAACTGAACAGTTTATTTGTTGAATTGCTTTGTAATAAAATTTTCTTATTAGAAAACTAGTTCATCAGTGATACATCTATTCAACAGCTATTTATTGAATGGATTTTATGAGCCAGTTATGGTTAGGGAATTGGGATACAGAGTGAGATACACCCTGCCATGAAGAACATTATAGCTCAGCAGAAAGGAAAGACGGTAAATAAAAAAATAAGAGCAGGTAGGTATTAAACCACCTGATGATAGTTCTCTAACTATAGAGACTGCTGGTTTTCTCTCTAATTGGAAATTACTGTTTGGCTATCTACCAGCCTGGAAAAATCTTTCCCAAAAATCTTTAAAAATAATTTTGCACCTTATTTATATATACATTTTAGGGCACCTACCACTTCTGTGTTATGTTATAGACATTTAAATATTTATCTTATCTATGTTAGTCAGTTGTAAACTCCTTGAAGGTAAACTCTATATCTTACTAAATTTTTGGTTTCCATTTTTTAAAGAAACATGATTTCAACTATTTTCTGATGTTGACAGTAGTTTTTTGTTAAGAAGCTTCAAAGTGAAAGCTTCAGAAAATTTAATAATAGTTATCTCTGACTTTTATTTTACAGGTTATAATCCCAAAGCATTTTTATTTGGCCTGGGCATTAGAGAACTCATTCAGATAGGAAAAAGGATCAAGAATTGTTTTTCTTCACACCCCAATCCTCTTGTTGATTCTGAACCCACCATAGAAACCTAATGGAAAAGGAAAAAAAAAAAGTATGTACTCTTATGTCTTGAAGGCATGATGGATTTATAGCCTAGCAGCCAAATTTCACTGAATGGGCCATAAAATCCAGTTTGATAGAAGTAGAAAGGTAGGAAAGAATACTTTTTTTAAAATAAGAAGGTTATAATAAAGGGGAGTTTGGTTTTTGGATTAAAAAAATCTAAAAAAAAAATCCAAAAATTGAGAGAAAATTTGGATAGTTTTTCCCTATAAAGCAAAGATGATTTCATGGCCACAGAGATATTCTGATAGCTACCTTACAAATAAATACAAATGGTCACAAAGAGAATCTGTGAGGATATTAGCTCCATTCAACTCATGTTCACTACAAAACTAACATGTGAAAATATGTGTCCTATATAGAAGATTATAGTGTTCAAGGGAATATTTACTTTAACTTATAATAGTAAAGTTAGTTGGTGATATATGGCTATCACTGATAATTTGTAGGCAGGGTTGCTACTTTGACAAAAATAAACTGCAAAGTGCTATAGGATATGGAATTTTTATATGGAAATAGGGTGAGGATGGTGAAAGCAAGTCTAGACATCCCCTCCACTAGTAGATATCCAAACTGAGCAAAGAAGAACAGGTTTGAATTATTATAACATCTAAATTGATAGCATTATTCTGCAATGGGTTTAATTTTCTCAAGTAAACTTAAAGGATTAAAGCAATTCTAAATTAGCCACAGATTGGTGACCAGGAGGTTTCTCTAACAAATCCAGGTTTCTATAAGTAAAACCTAACTTGTCACTTTTATATTTTCTGGTGCATAAGTTCAGATGTGGGGCTGACTATATATGAGCTTGGAATCTTTGCAGGTAAAATACTCAAAATGTTACTGAGGTTTTCTATCTTCCATGCAGCAGTTATAACCACTAAAAAGACTATATAAGAAGTCAGTATAAAAACAGTATGGATTCAATCAGGACCGACATCATGAAGGATATGTTTAAATACTAATGGCAGTATCTGTGATGTATAAGGCCTTCAAAGGGGCACAGAAGGTACAAATGGATTCCTTTCTATTGAGTAGAGTAACTAAGGATCTTTGTCACATAGCAGTAACCTTTTTTTTATGTAATGGTCATCGTGAAATGAGATTTATACCAATGAAATTATTTTTCCCAATTCAAATGCATCCTTTTCAATCTGATGATTTTTAATATACAATGTTTCATCTTAGCTTGAAAATCCACTCTTTAAATTAGAAGTTAAATAAAGAAAAGATGCTTTCAAATGATATAACAGAATATGATAGAAACAAGATATTCGTGCAGGTTCTTCTTGATTAAATTAAAATCCTCAAGAGGAAACTTTATTCCTCAAAACAACCAAACTGCCTAAAGTGTAAATAATTATTAATTCTTTGGATATACAGAAAATCTCAAGGAAGAGG